CAAGCGCCGCACCCAGCACCCGACTCGACTCGCTCTCTGACCCTGGCTACACAGCCCATCTCCCCGCTGAGGTTCCCAGACACAGTCATGGCCCCTGTAAGCTTGAGGTGACTTTGATGCGCCTACCAGCACCCGCAGCCCATTTCCTCCCTGCAGGACTCCTACCTGTTACCTAATGAGCCTGGAGCCATGTGTGGGTGCCAGCTCCCTGCACGGAGACCTTTAACACCCCATTTCCTGTGTTGATTTGTATTGTGCTTTTGGGTCCTTGGTGCCCAAGTGAGCTGTTAACATTCACAACTACTTCCCACTACTACCTAAAGCTCAGTTTCCACATGTGTGATAATGTGATAAAAATACCTGACACTTCAAAGCTGTTCAGGGGATGAAAGGAAATGATGAGTGTGAAGAACTCAGTAGGTTCATGACATGTAGTAAGTACCCGAGAAACAGCCCAAGAGTTGAAGCAGGGTTTCCCCTCAGAGAGCCAGTCTGTCCTTTGCAAAACAGGGTCTCAGAGAAGGTTACAGGACCTGGCAAGAAAACATTGAGTTTGCTGTCTGTGGTGCTGGCTTCAGACCCCGACTAGTCACCTACTCTCCCTGTAGTAATCCCCAGCGAGGAGATGAACCTGTTCCCTCATCCCTTCCCTCAAAGTTTGGCCAACGATGATGCCACACCTCCTACACAAGGTGTTTTGTTGAGAATTAAACATAATTAAATGTGAGTGCCCCCATTCGCAGCACATGCGCTAACAATGGCATGAGACAGAGAAGACAGAATGGCCTCCCAGCACAAGGATGCCACGCAAATTCGCAGAGTGTTCCATATATTAAAAGTATGTAATAATCATAATAATGAAATATGAAGTTAAGGTAAAAAAAAAAAGAATAAAATCAAGTGTGAAGATCAGAGGGTTTTGCACATTGCTAAGTGCTACGCAAGTGTTCATGAGATTCTCCTCGAGGGCCTGGAAGGGCCAACCTCTCCTCAGACTGGCTCCCTCCCTGCAGACCCATGCAGTTGTTCTGGATAGTTAGGAAAGATCTCAGGAGTTCAAGAAAGAAGAGACAATCTCTGGCCAGGAAAGAAAGAGAGAATATCCCCAGTAGTGAAAATGTAAGGGGGGATCCCAACCTATTTCCTGCACACCAACGCTCAATGGAACTTAATTTTTCTATGGAATGTGACAAGTGAACACTAAGAGAAAGTATTAGGTAGCTGACAGAAATAGAAATTGAATAAAATCCATGATCCTGTTTAAAATTACTGAGGAAAGCCCACCTGGGCTAATGGAAGTGGCCATCCATACCTCACCCTGGAACGACCCCTCGGTGATGAGCGGCCTGAACAACAGCCCAGCTTTGGGTAGGATGCTTGGGAGTGGGGTTCCCCAGAGCAGAGATATAAACAAATTGCATATTGACATCAAATTTGGGCTCGGTCACTTAGAAGTGTCCCTTCCCCCTACACTCGCCTCCACCCCCATCTTTATCACTCATCTATTTTTTTTAAGGATTTATTTATTTATGCACTCAAGAACTGGGGTACAGGCCAGACAGAGTGGGAAGCAGAACAGGCAGATGTACTGAAATACACTGCTGAGGGGAGCAGCGGGTGAGGCAGGAGAGGGCTGCTGAGCCATGTGGGTCACTCCCTAGCCGGGGATTGGAGTGAACATGCTGCCGTGGCTGTGGTGGGTTTATGGGTTTAAGGATCTTACTCCCTGAGACTCCCAAGGCATCATTAGAACTCATGGTCAAGAAGTAGCCACCCATTTAGGGCAAATTGTTGACTATGAAAAGGCAAAGAAAAAAAAAGTCAATGCCTCAGGCCTCCCTGGTGATGCAGTGCTACAAGCCATCACCAGCCACTGCAGCATGAATTTGCTCTCCAGCCAGAGAGGTGACCACATGGTGCAGCCGACCTCTCCTGTCTCACCTTCTGCTCCCCTCAGCAGTGTTTCAGTTGATACACCTGTTTTGCTTCCACTCCCTCTGGTGACTCTCACTCCTCACACCTCTGGCCTACACCCTAGTTCTTGAATGTATATGATTAAAAAAAAAAAAAGTCAATGGCTTGAATGAGACCCTGGGCTGGGGCCTGTAGTATGTCCTAACTTCTGTGGAGAAGGGAGATCTGAATGGCTCCATGGTTCGAGACACACCTGGAAGTCAAGGAACTGGAGAGGTGTTCAGGTGATAGTCACAGGTCCTCAGGTCAGTCCCTGGGAAGCTGACAGGCTGCTTCCCAGTCCATCTCTACCTCTCTACTCTAGACCGTCACAGAGGAACCACTGTCATGCCTGCTGCATACACTGAGAAGTAGTCCTGGCCTCCTCCCAAGTCCCTCTTCTAGTCCTGCAACCCATCAAGGGAAATGAATAACTATGGGAAGAACAGGAGAGAAGGCCACAGGGGCAAACACTACCTCATCAGTGCACACTCCAGCCTCTTCCTGTAGCCGGCTCTGGCCCCCCTCCCTCATCATTGTCGCTATCATAACCACACCCACCACATGTTGAGTAATTCTTTCCACATTTTTTTTGTGTCATCTTCATCATCTCCCACGCCCCTCCCATGCACCCTTCCATCTAGGTACTGCAGTCCTCACTCAGTCCAAAACATCAGTGCCCAGTTCATGCCCATACTTCTTCCATGAAGTTTTCCCTAACCTTTGAGAACAGCGCATGAAGCAGGGTTCTGTGACTGGTGTTATTGTCAATATTTTCCATCAGGACTTGGGTAGGCTAAAGGATGCCAGGCTTATCTGAATTGTCACCACATTACCACATGATTGGATCAGGATTTCAAAAAATTCCCTTTATAAGATGAAATGATGGACTAGAACTATCAAAATGAATTTGTTAAGCATGTTGCCAAGAGGAATGAGAACCTGCAGCAATGACCGTTTTTGGTAGTTATCTACATTTCTTGAACAAGGAAACCCTTAGCTTCCTATATTTATTCTTGCCAGATGGCACCTGGGCCTTTAACAAGAAATCACCCAGTGGTCAGAGAACAGGTTGAAAAGGGACCTAGCAACCAGGTGCTCTGAAGAATGCTTAAGAGCTGGCATTGTGTTTTAGAGAAGACTGGTCGGAATGTGACAGCTGTCTTCAGAGGGTACTTATTAGAACAGGAATTAACCAGCCTAGCAGAAGGTAGAGCCTGGGTCTCCGGGGGTGAGTTATAGGCAGACATATTTTGATTCAGGATGAAGTTTCTAGTGATTAAACTGTCCTCCATTATAACACAATGTCTTGACAAGAACAGGTTTCTCACCCTTGGTGAGGTAAGTGCAACACTGGGTAACCACCTGGTAAGAACGCAGTGACAGGAATCTTGCATTTGCTGTGGCAGAGGAGGGGACTGAGGATGGATTGGTTCCCTTCCAAATTCCCTTCCAATTCTTGACTGTCTAAAGACGGATGTCTTTAGAGTAACAAAAGCTAAAGTGAATATATCAACAGATTGGAGGGAAAGAGATTTTGGGAGTTGGGGGCTGGAAAAGTGGGGAGCACACAGCAAGCTAGGAACACAGGAAACACAGCTAGGGACACAGGAAACATTGGGGCAGCTTCCTCTTACAGGGTTCGGGACTTAAAGTGCAGGAGAGAAATTCCAACCTCTTGTCCTGGGATTCTTCCTCCTCGAAAGCGGTTACTGAAGGCAGTGACCGAAAAGTGGGAAGAAAGATCCCAACCACCCGAAACCACAGAACACTCCTCAGGTCGTTGGGATCTATCTTTGTTGGGTTGAAGTGGGGTGTCAACAGGGTATAGGAGAGAAAGGGGTAAGATGCATAGAGAGAAAAGGACAAAGAATATGGCACAAGAATGTGTAGAATTCCAGCAATTGGTGATCTTGCTGGCAGGGAAGGAGATAAGGGTTGACGTGGGACAAAGAGTTGGTCACATGAGAAGCCTTCTCTGTGTGTCATTGCTTTGCTTTGTGAGCCCAGAGAGGAAGTGTCCTCGCCAGGAGGAAAATGCACAAGGATGAGACAAGGAAGAGAAATAGATCCACATCAGCCTTGAAGAAAAGGGCTTCTTCAGGGAAGCTCTCAGGCAGGGCAGGGGAGAGGGGAGGGCGGGGCATCTGATGTAGTGAAGAACACACTGGATGTGGAGTCAGGATACGGGGCCTCAAGGGCCAGGGCTGCCACTTTCAGTTCCCAGAACCGTCACTCTCCCTCTCTGGGCCTCAGGGTCCTCCTACTAGAAATCTCTTCTCCCTGAGTAGCTGAGAATGTCACTCATTCAAGTGTTCCCCAACCTCATTTAGAGCTAGAACATCACTATTTCATGCCACAAAATGACTTGGAGACTGTTTTTGTGCTTGGTGATTTGGGTATTTCATTTTTGCCTTCCAGTAATGTTTTCATATTTTCCCCCCTTTGAAAATTTCCAGCCTATCTCTTCTGAGTTTGAGAAGAGAAGGGGTTTTGCCCCTCCCTGGCCTGGGTAGTGACAGGAGGGTGGCTGTGTCCCTGTTGGCCTGGGACTCAGGGGATTCCCAGGATCAGGGACTTTCAGTGCAGGGCGAACTGGCTGGTTGTCGCCCTTAGTGGCGAGAAAGAAGGCTTGGAGGTAGCTTGGAGGAGAGGTCCTGGAAGGACCCTCCTGTCCCCTTTTCTGTGGAGTTTCCCTCTCCCCCCTCACAAGGTGCAAATGGTTTTCATGACAAAATGGGACTCCCTTATGGGGAGGCCAGTGGACAGAAAGGGAGAGAAGGGGGCAACTTTTAAGCCCCCACCAGCGCTATTGCAGACTGCCAGAAAAACGATAAAACGCTTGACTAGCACTTATGCTATGGGGATTTTCCCTTTAAAAAAAAAAAAAGAAAAAAGTGGAAAAAAAGCAGAGCCTACACGCCCCCAGGAGAGAACGGAGATCATTTGTTTAAATTTGCAGCTGACGGCTGCCACCTTCCTACTTGCACCCGGTGGAGAGCCTGTCAGCACCACAGTGACCAGTCTGGTGACGTACAGGGACAACTATGAACTATCTCCACACCCAGGAAATGGACTTCCTGAACTACAATATGGAAGACCTGGTGAGTGGATGGTCAGTGGGCTCTACTTGGAATTCTAAATGGCTTGTGCTGGGATCCAGTGTATGAAGGAGAGGCGACAGTGGTAGTCTCTCCCCGCTGGGGACTGGCAGAAGCTAGGCAGGTCATCAGCACTGGCCTTTTAAGATTTTACTTCCCATTCCATGGAGGAATACCTGTGAGAGAAAGTCTTCGGAGGGGGTGGGAGGTTGAGCTCGGGTCCTGCATCTCTCTGACTTTTTGTGTAAGCTAGAACAATCACTTTGCCTCTCCATCCTTCAATAGGGGAGTTTCTCTTTATCTCTTAGGACCGGAATAAGGGCCGGGGGAGAAATGTCGGGGGGCTGGCGTTGCTAATCAACTGACCAAGGTAGATTTATTCCCCTCTTGCTGTATGCTTACATCTTCTGGATACAGCATCAATTCTGTGTGGGATGAGAAGGTGGGGACCTGGCCCTCACCATTGGTAAGTTCAGGTCTAGCCCAAGAGAAAAACACCACTCACTGGAAATTCTTAGACAAGGCTTCTGTGCTAACCTGAGGCAGTTGGAGACCAGATGGCTGCAAGGGGCTGGAGTACCAAGTTGATGGAGAACTCTGCACAAATCTTAGAAATGTCTTAGAGCATGTTGGGGCATCCCTCAAATGACTGGGCTCTCTGGAGACCAGGTATTCTTGGGTGGGAGATGGGAAAGGTCCCCAGCAACACTTTCTGCCACTATCCAAGTCTGTCCAGTGAAACAGAGTGGTTTCCAAAGCTGTGTGTGGGAGCAGCTCACTGAGAGACTTCTGCACTTCTGGGTGGGGAAAACAGAACTGCTTGTAAGGACCTCTTGGAAACTTCTTTGTGATCTTTTCTCAATGGCACATCTGGAGAAGGGACTTCTTGCTGAGTTGCATTCTGGGCTGAATCATGAAGAATCCAAACCCCTTTGCCTATATCCACAAGCTCTCCTGACCTTACACCTACCTTGAGAGCTTCTCCAAATCACTCTAACCTCCCTGGCTGGAGCCTACACTGTAACTCCACCAGCTGTGTTTCCAGATAACTCTGAAATCTTCTTCTTCTCATTGCCCAGATCCCAGGACTTGGGAGTATACATAGAACAGGGAGAAGGTAAGGAAGAGGATTCTTTACCCAAAGCCTGGCCTCTCAGACACAATACCCAGGTAAAAGCAGAGCCAGAAGCACCTGTCTAGTCAGATCTGCTGCATAATTTGTGGAACCCAGTGCAAAATGAAAATACAGGGCCCCTTGTTCAAAAATGAGTAAGAATTTCAGGGCAGTCAGAGCAGACTAAACACGGGGTTCTTCTAAGGGCGAGATCCCGAGTGACTGCACGGGTCAATGACCGTGGAGCTGACCCTGAGTTTAATCATAGCTGGGCAATTCCCTAAATCTGACTAAAACTTCACTGTCTGACAAGGCGATCTGCCAGCCCCCACGGCCCCCCGCTCTCTCCTAATTAGGTTACTGGGTGTCTTCCTTTGCCACAGTTTTAAGCTGACCATGAGCCCCTGACCCAGTTGGACATCATAGTAAGCAACTCAAGAACTGGCTGGTCCTGGCTTCTGAGAAACCTCAAGAGTTTCCCCTAACTGCATGCCTCACTCCACAGCGTGACCTACTAGAGACAGGTGGTAGCCGGGACAGAGGGCAGCAGAGCGAGTCCCACATATCAGAGAAAATCTACTGCTCAAGGAAACACCTGGGAACTTGTTTCATGTCACACCTCAGATGAGTGCTCATGGCCAGGGACCCCAGCATGCCGAACCCCCTTAATCAGGGAGTCCCAGGTGTCCTCTCAAGTTAGCCAGCTCCAGCACCCTGCCCCGCAGCCACTTACCTCCTGCATGTCCTCTCGAGGGCTGTTCCCACCTCAGGAGCACAGACCCTCTCCCTCCTTAGCCCACCCACTCAAAGATGGACCTTGAGAAGTTTTGACGTCTTGACAGCATCTCAAAGCATAGGCCCCGGGATGACAGAGTGGCAGGAGAGCCTTGCACGTAGTAGCTTCTCAATAAATATATCTTGATGCAGTGAAGCTCTTGGTTCACCTGTCCTCTCTGGAGTTAGGCTACTGCCATTCCTTTTGCTTCCAATTCCATTTCTTGTCCTCGTCCACACCTTGATCCACTTTCCTAGAACACTGGGTTCTACGTTCTAGTACTGGAGTTAAGAACTGGGGGCCCTGGTCCATCAGCAAAGGCATGATCATACGGTCATCCCAGCCTCCTCTTGAGCTCTAAGGTCAAGTCTAACTGCTTAAACTATCCATTTTCTTAAGCTGGGCTGCTCATTCCCATGAACAGGGATCCAAACCGGAAACAGCTAGACAGCTAAGTAACCGGGACAAAGAGCAGGTCCCTGGGGTGGGCAGGTCTAGGTAGACCCAGAAAAGTCTCTGTCCACAGGAACCTCGATCTACCAGCATGGGGCCTCCTAACAGGGTCAGGGCCAGGGCCTGAGCGCCTCCAGGTTGGGTCATAAACCACACCTCCCGCCCCACCCGCACACCAGCCAGGAGAGGAAGCTGCTCTAACCCCAGAGCGTGGCTGCCAGTGACCCTCCTCAGTGATGACCCCCAAAAACCACACTACGGTGTGCCGTGCCACATGTGCCAGCTAAATTCATCAAGGAGGGGGGGGCAGAAGAGGAACCAAAACCAGCTCAGGCTGTTTCTGGGCTTTACCTTGGGGGAGGGGAGATCACCCCCTAACCAGGTCAAAAGTCCCAGAGGAACCCCAGTGGAAGAGGCCCTGATTGGATATGATTGGAGGGCTCAGACATGAGAGAGGGACCCAGGGCCAGTGTGAGGAAGGGTCAGCTCTAGGACACAGACCACAGAGTCCCTAAGTCAGAGCCCCCTCAAGTCAGCCTTCCTTGAGGATCGAGCACATCACTGACCCTGCTCCTTGGGCAGAAAAACATGCAAACCATGGCCTTGGTGCTGAGAATCAGGGTACAGGATGGGCTTTTCTCCAGGAATGATGGGGCAAGGTATTTCAAAGCAGTACTGACCCAGGGGATGGGTTCACCAGGTTGCTAGGTATGGAGGTGTGCTTGTCTGGCCTTGACTGTGTGATTCTATCCCCAACATGCAAAATTTCTTGGGGTCCTAGGAGGACCTTAAGACTCAGTGCAGAGGCAAGAGTAGCTTAAAGACTCCCCAAGAGCCATATGCTTGACAATGCCATGCTCTTAATGGCTAAAACTCCTGGGTAGAGATGGGAGAGGAGCCTGGCAGGCTGGCTCTTGAAGGGGGCGAGGGGTAGGCAAGAGGGGGAGAAGTGGCAAACGCCACACAAGAGTCTCAGATGCTTTTTAGAGCGTGTGGGCACTCACCCCTGCCTGTCTCCACCTTCCAAACCCTTCCCAGCCCAACCCAGCCCAGTCCCCTCAAGCCACTGAAAGCTGGAATGAGAGACACTCAGGCTGGCCCCACTCACAGCTCTTGACTCTTGGCTGGGAATATCCAGACAGGACATAAAAGGAGAGGGAGGCTGCGTGTGTCCCTCTGGCCAGAGCGATGACCCGCATCTGTGTGCAAAAGCCTCCTGCAGCCAGTATGACTCAGACCCTGGAGTCCTGGGGTTCGGCCTGGGTGAATGTGTCAGCTGCCCTGCACCCCTCTGGGGACTGGGAGCTAGGCCAGCCCCCGTGTCTGCTGGCTTCAGGACAGGCAGGCTGGAGAAGCTGACAGCTCCCACCCAGCGCTGAGCAGGTAGCTAGCATGCTGAAAGCAGCTCAGGCCGGGCAGGGCGCAGCACCCAGCTGATCTGAGCACCTGAGGGCTGGAGCAAGACCTGAGTGGGCAGGACAGGAATCCCTTCCACATACTTGGGCTCCAGCGTTCTTCTTCCTTTCAAGGGCTGATCTTTGTTGGCAGTTCTGTCTTTGGGAAGATTCTGTGTCCTTTGATGGAAACACCCCCACCCCAACCTTTGTCTGTGGTCTGTCCTCTAGAAGCTCACACACAGCACATCCTGCCCCCACACCCATGGGAATTCTTTCCAATCCTTGAAGAAGACGCCCCTCTCTGCACTCAAGCCTTGTCTCCCCAAGACTCTGCCCTGCTTGTACCTGAAAACTTCCTCGGAGGGCGGGGATTTCCAGACCCCTCTGCTAAGTGATGACACTTGTCCAGACCAAACAAGCTGGCTTGGTGCCAGCTGCCTACCTCCACGCTTCTGTTCACCTAAAGTGAGGTGACAGTGGCCCCCTGGCAACCTCACCACCCTGGTGACTCACTGTCAGTTTGGAGCAAGCACACGCTCTAGTCTTCTGCTCATAAACTGTCCCTAGCTTGTCCTGCTGAAGTTTTAAACCCCGGTGGAGGGCTGTCTAGCTTTGCCCATGCACTTCCACTTGGTGGGCTTGGGCTCGCGTCCAGGTTGCAAGGGGACCAGCATTGTCTGAAAACACCCTCCAGCTCCATGCCTCCCTGCCCCCACCTGCTGGCCTAGAGTCTCAGTTTGCTAAGTTTCACGTTGGCCAGTGCTGGGCAGTGGGGCAGCCTGGATATTTGGAGACATCAGGCAGGGCTTGTTCATTATCCAGGGAGGGCCTGGGTCTTCCAGAGATTCCTGAGGACAGAAAGAAGGGAGGGCCAGAGTGAGGAAGCCAGGGAAGGAGAGTGCGCTGGGACCCCACCCCAGGCCCAGCACCTGGCTCTCTTTGCCCCATCCTCCCCTTTCCTGGCCTTCAATACCAGGACACAGAATATTCCAGACCCTGCTCCTTCCCCCTCCTTGTTGCACACAGACATTTTCTACCTGAATTTCTGGATCTATGCTCAGCTTCATCTGGGTCACCATGTGTTCTTGGTTTCCTTGGGACGTGAGCCCTGGCCTCATGGGAGGCTGTTGCCCACCAGTGGCCACTGTGCCTCAGGTAGTCAAGGCCCCACCCATCTCTACAGGGTGTCTGCTGCTCTCTGGGGTGTCTGCAGCCTTTTCTATCAAAGATGTGTGGACCACGCTCTAGGTTGCTCCACGGTGCTCCCTCTCAGAGGAGTGTGAGAGGATTCTCTTCTGTGGCCAAGTGGATGCCCACGGTATTCCCTGTTCCTGAATCTTCACTTCTCATGGAGTCAGAGACCCTTGCTTAATCACCTCTCTCCATGGTTTAGGGAAGGTGGAGGGCCAGATCCCCTTGCGTGTGGCAAGTGGCTTTAACACATGTCACTCCGGAGCCCCCAAAACGTCTGTTTGACACCTCTACTGAGAGATACAGGCAACTCCCAGCACCCTTCACACAGGTGTCCTCCCATCTTCCCCCTCTGCCTGAGCACGTTGCCAAACAAATACCTCTGGATTAAGTGACAGTCCTGCCACTCGCAACACTCCTGTAAACTGGGGTCCTCAAAAAATGGGGGCTCTGGAGTCCCGGGGACACTTCCTGTTAGGGGGAAAGGATGTCCTGAATGAACGCTACAGAGACAGGTCATTCCCATCACACTGGCTTTAAGTGAGCAAAACATCAATCCACTTGAACGTTTCAGAGGGTCAGGACTTGATGAGTCTCATAAAGGGCTCCTGGGCCAGACAGGCTGGCTCCTCTGCCCTCTGCTGGGCAGGAGGACAGCCAGAGGCCACCACTGCTGAGAAAGGAGGAGTCCAGTCTGACTGGCTGCCCTGCCTTGCCTGGGCCCTGCCTCTCTCTGAATCGCTGTGCTCTGCCTACAGACAGCTCATCCATTGTTTTCTCCCTTCCACTCCTGCTGAGTCCCAGTGAGTCCAGTGGCTGCACTCAATGAGATTGGAATGGCTCCCAGCATGGAGAAGGGAGCAAAGAGAAGCTCAAGCTGTCTGAGGGCGATGGGCAGAAGCAGGAACTTGCAAAGTTTAAGAGGAAAGACAGTCTCTCCTGAGGCACCAAGCAGGACCTGCCTGAAGCCCAGAACTCGGGTGCCCTGGCCTTCTGCAGCCCAGCGCTCCCAGTGCAGTTCTGCACACTGGCTGCGTGTCCATCACGCAGAATGTGCATGGTGGTGTGAGGTGGCCACTGGGAGCTGGCCATCTGAGCTGCCCTAGCCTGGGTGCTGGGACAGAGGCGCAGGGTGGGGCATGCGAGGGAGGAGCAGAGCCCAGCAGAGAGGACGTGATTCCAAGTAGAAAGAGCTGCAGAGAGAGGCAGGAAGAAGGGTCGCCTGAGCCCCACGGGAGGGCAGGAGTTACAGGGAAGAGAGGGAGCTCAGGCGAAGGAAGACCGAGCAATGTTAGCGGACAGGAATGTGAGCCTGGAGGACAGGATGCCAGGAGCCAGGAGGGAGGAAAGGAGGTTTGAAAGGTCGGAAGAACATACATTTTGTAGAAATTTAAAGACCCTCCTCACCCCGCAAGTCCATGGCTTTCAAATGAAAGTAAAACTATCCTTTAAACAAAACTGTGAAACACCACATGAGACAGAAGTGGAGAGCTCTGGTTTAAAGGCATAAAAGCAAGGAGGAGACGCTGGCACCTGCTCCCCACCCCCACCCAGGCCGCAGGGTAAGACTGGGAAGAAAACCCACTGGCCTGAGCTTCAGGGAGGCGGTGCCGGGCCTGCTCCTCGCGCTTACGCGATGGGAAGCCTCAGAGCTCGCAGCTCGACCTGTTTCTGTGAGCCCTGCCTGTGTTCTGTGTGTGAATGCACCGAGGTCAGCTTACGCTCCTTCGATGGAAGAGCTTTTTCTGCAAACACGGCTTTTCTTTAAAACTGGCTTTGCTATTCAATGTGAAAACAAAAAGAAAACCACCCCGCGTAGGTCCACGGATGGGATGCGGTGTGCAGGTTGGAGAGCTCATCCTGCCCTCGCTGTGGGAGCTGGACAGAGCGGTGGCGCTGAGGGGACGAGCCCACGGAGGGACAGCAGAGTGGACGCTAGGGGAAGGATGCCTTGCATGAGGCAGTGGCCAAGGGATGTTGGCCCGGGAGGGAGGGCAGGTGGCTCTAATGTGTCTCCCCACCGCCACCCCCCAGCACCACCCCTCCCGGGGACCAGAAGGGAAGACCCAGGTCGGGGAAGGGGTCTGCCCACCAATGACAGTGACCCCTGGGAGGCAGCAACACCCTGTGGCGACTCCCTTGTCCTCCTGGCAAGAGAGCAGTGAGCCCACCCAGAGCCTGGTTACAGCCACCACCCTCTCCCTCCCTGGGGCTCCTCATTTAAGGAAGCATCTTTCTGAACCTGCATGCATTGCTTATAGTAGATTTTGAAATGCTGCGTGGAAGGATCTGGTGAGGGGAGGGGTGGGAAGAACAGAGCTGGGGGTGAGGAGGAGCAGGTGCAGGGGGGACAGCTGCGAGTGAAAGGCATGAAAACAAGCACCATTTCTTCCTCTGCGGTTAGCTGGGTAAACAACCTGAGCACTGTGGGGGGCAGGGGGAGGCTAGGGAGGAGGGAGCTTCCGGAGACATGGTGGGCGCAGCCCTTCACGTGGGAAGCCACCCCAGTCCCGTGCCTGTGCCTGGCCCTCCTGGGTCCGTCTCACTTCCCTCTGCCTCTGGGCTTGCTGCCTCTGGGCTTGCTGCGTCCAGTGTCCAGTGCTTTCCTTTCGCTCTGCTGCTGTAGCCCAGAAGGGCCGAGCAGGGAGCAGGGACTTTGCTGAGCCTGGGAAGTTGCTGGGAAGGAGCTGCCTGCCGTGCATGGGGGAGGTATTGGCTCAGTTAGTTCAAGGTGGGTTCAAACAACTGATCTCCAGCAAGACAGGTCGATACAATTAGACCTCTACTTACCCTGAGCCTGCTGAGCCGGTGAAAGGACTGGAAGGCTCTTACTGCAATGTCAAATACAATGAGGAGTCGGGAACACAGGAGACCACTAAGCCGCAGGCCACCTGAGCACCCACCCCCAGGGGGTCCGAGGTTACAGGGCCATTCCCAAATCGGGAGTAGTCGCTCCAGTCCCTCCCCCCCCCCCCCAGGCCTGAGTCCTTCCATTCCTGAGGCCACAGCAGCACAAAATAACTTACAGGTGCACAGCACTTCAGAGTTTACAAAGCACAGCCACACCATACATCTCCTTTCATCTTCGCCCCTGCCCTGGGAGGAATTAGTCTCTTTGATAGATGGAAACTCAAGCTGGAAAAGGCAAAGTGATTTGTTCAAGGACTCCCCAGGGGACCTGGGGTCTGGTGGGTGGGGTGTGTGGGGGTGCAGGGACAAAAGCAGTGAGGCTGGGGAGAGAGGGGGAGTCCACCCGGGGGCCAGGCGCCCTCTCCCCAAGGTGGGGCCTCAGTCTCTCTACCTCCTGTCTCCTTGCAGTACAAGGAAATTGGCAACTACAACGACAGCGTGGATGCCACCTTGGAAAGTTACATGTGCCCCACGGTCGAGGGGCCCCTCCTTACCTCCTTCAAGGCCCTGTTCATGCCCTTGGCCTACGGCCTCATCTTCTTCCTGGGCATGGTGGGCAACATTCTGGTACTGGTGATCCTGGAGCGGCACCGGCAGACACGCAGCTCCACCGAGACCTTCCTGTTCCACCTGGCACTGGCAGACCTCCTATTCGTCTTCATCCTGCCCTTTGCTGTGGCCGAAGGCTTTCTGGGCTGGGTCCTGGGCACCTTCCTCTGCAAGATTGTGATTGCTCTGCACAAGATCAACTTCTACTGCAGCAGCCTGCTCCTGGCCTGCATCGCTGTGGACCGCTACCTGGCCATCGTCCATGCTGTCCACGCCTACCGCCACCGCCGCCTCCTCTCCATCCACATCACCTGCGCCACCATCTGGCTGGCGGGCTTCTTCTTCGCCTTGCCAGAGATCCTCTTCGCCAAGGTCAGCAGACCCCATTTTAATGACTCCCTGCCACACTGCACCTTTTCCCAGGAGACCAAAGCCGAAACCCACGCCTGGTTCATCTCCCGCTTCTTCTACCATGTTGGGGGGTTCCTGCTGCCATTGCTGGTGATGAGCTGGTGCTATGTTGGGGTGGTGCACAGGCTGTGCCAGGCATCTGCCAGGCGCCCTCAGCGGCAGAAGGCGGTCAGGGTGGCCATCCTGGTGACGAGCATCTTCTTTCTCTGCTGGTCACCCTACCACATCGTCATCTTCCTGGACACCCTCTCAAGGTTGAATGTCTTGGGTAGTGGCTGTGAACTGAATAGCTATCTCGCTGTGGCCATCACCATGAGTGAGTTCCTGGGTGTCGCCCACTGCTGCCTCAATCCCATGCTCTACACGTTTGCCGGTGTGAAGTTCCGTAGTGACCTGTCACGGCTTCTGACCAAGCTGGGCTGCACCGGCCCCACCTCTCTTTGCCAGCTCTTTCCTGGTTGGCGCAAGAGCAGTCTCTCTGAATCAGAGAATGCCACCTCCCTCACCACCTTCTAGGTCCCAGCTGCCACTTTGTTCCTGTTTTCCATGGGGGCAGGGGTGCAGTGATGCCGGAAGCCCCGTCCACCGGGAGCTGGGGTCCTCAGAGCTCACCTTGGCCAATGTCCTCAACTGAAGTGGCCCGATGAAACAACCCTCTTTCCAGGACATCCCTGCCAGCTCTTCTCCTGGCCCTGGGGCTAGACTGGAGTGCTGGGAGGGGAAAGCAGCCCAGAGGCACAGCAAAGGACACTCATGCCCGTCTGCCTCACCTTGGGCTCAGAGAATACCATACATATACTTTCTCCCATGTTAACCATCGACAGCTCCAGAAACATTTACTTCTGCCCTTGCCAGCAAGGAAAGCCAATCTCCTTCTGGAACGTACTCTATCATCTTAGGGACCAATGACCTGCAAAGCTGTTCCCTCTCCTACTCCACCTACCGAAAGGAGCCAGAAACTGAGCACCAGGGGATGGATGAAAGTTAGGTTTGGGGAAAGGCCAAGTGGCACCAGAGGGTGGTCGCAAACAAACCCAAGACGTTCTACGAGGCCAGGCCTCCACCTTGACCAAGCAGGAAGCCTAAACCGGCCCATTCCAAGTAGCTGTCCATGGCTCAGACCAAACTGAGGTCAAGCCGTCTCTGTGTCACAGTGGCCATGAGAGACGGCGGACTCCAGACACGCTCACAAACCTGCCGGTGTCCTGGAGAAGTGAGGCCAAGCCTACCGGGGAAAGAAAACATTGTGTGTCCCCGGGGCCCCAAGGAGGTAGGACCAGGGCCTCCTCTGCCCAGGCTGGCGATGTCACAGGTGGGCCAGGGGTGGCAGGGTCCAGGGCCCCGGTGGGCCTGGGGACTGATGAGGAAGGAGGCCAACTCCTTCCTCCCCGGCCCCACCCTCACCCCGCAAGCCACACAGCCGGGGGAAACTCCCCAAGCCACAGAGGGGCCCCAGCCACAGCAGAGAGCACTTAGTGAGGGTCATATGGTAAAGGTTGACCCCCTAAGGAGACAAGGCTGAAGGGGGCCTGGGGTCCTCTCACTCAGCCCTCTGGCCGTAGGTCATGCACAGAACACCCCCTTTCAGGGCCTACACGAGAGACACAAGCATCCCCTTCGGGTGGGCTCAGGCTCACCGGGCCTGGCCAGGGAAGTCCCCCGGCCCAGGAAGCCTGCCCTGCCCCTGAGAGGCTTTTACTCAGAACCAAAGGAAGCTGCTCCACACTCACTCACCCACCTGCCCAAGGAGAGCTGTTCCTCCTCCTCCCCAGCCTCTGTTCTGGCTGGGGTGGGACAGCAGGGCCCCCACACTTGCTGAGAGCCCATCAGGGCTGCCCACTGAGAGCCCTTCAGGGCTGCCCAGGCTCTTTCAAGCTAGTCAACTAAGCTCCCTAGGAGACGGCACTGCCCCCTCCATGGGAGGGGGATCAGAGCTGTGACCCAGGGAACTGAGCCTTCGACAGGAACACGGGGGCATCCCCCTTTTTCCTCTCTGATCACAACCTGGACTGTGGAGCCAGGGACAAGCGGAAAAAAAAGAGGAGAGGTTGGATTTTTAATTTTCTCTTTTTAATAAAAAGGCACCTATAAAACAGGTCAATACAGTACAGGCAGCACAGAGACCCCCGGAACAAGCCTAAAAATTGTTTCAAAATAAAAACCAAAAAGATGTCTTCACATAGTGTATTTATATATTTATATTTATATATATATTTATATAATGGTACAAAATGGCTGGGGGTATGGCCATGGATGGAGGGAGTAAGTTGGCTGGCCTGTGGAGTTTACCTTGGAAAGCGAGACTGTGGCGGAGGTGGGAGGAGCGGGCCCTCACTGCCTGACCCCTCTCCTCTGGGCAGGAAACACTTCAGAGTCAGTTTGGGGAGCTTTGGGCCACGGGTGGGGGGCTCATGGGCACAGGGTGCAGGCTGAGGCTGGATGGGCAAAGCGCCTGGCAGAACGGAGGCCAGGCCCTGGCCCTGGGGGTGCTGGGGGAGGCAGGAGCCCGAGGCCAGCCCCAGAGGAGGCACTCAGCCTGCTGGCGGTGGACTGAAGACAGCACCAGACCGGGAGAAGTGGGGGCAGGTCCCTTGTATCACAGCTGCCCGTGCGAGACCAGGCCCTGCAGGTCAGGAAGGCTGGGGACAGGGCCTCGGCAGAAGAACACCCTGGCCCTGGCCCTGGAGGCGGGCACGGAAAGCCTCAGCCGGGAACTGCGCTGCCACCTCACCAGGCAGGAGGAAATGAGAAAAGGAGAAGTGTTTTACTCCTGGGGCCAAGGAAGGCAAAACACCCAGTCGTGTATGGCTTCGGTTCTGACCAGAGGCGGGTGGGGGGCTCTTCTGGGGCAGAGCGGGGGGCCTGAAGGGGAGGCAGTGGCTGTGCCTGGACGGGCACAGAGCTCTGAGCCCTCGGCAGAGGGACAGTGGGTGAGCAGGCAGGCAGAGGAGGGGGAAGAAAGGCCCCCTGCTCCCCTCCTGCACTTTCTCTGATTCATCCTCAGGGAGTAGAGGCTGGAGGGACAAACGGCCAAACCTTCTCCCTCCTGTGGTGACAAGGGGGTGGCAGCCCCTGAAAAGAGTAGGGGTGACCGGCCCCGGGCTACTTCAGGACCCTGCCACTCTCCCCAGGCTCCACTGGGAGGTGGGGGGCATACAGGCTCCGCCCCTTCTTCCGGTCCTTCCTCTCAGGCTGGGGACCAAAGACCTCAAGTTCTGGCTAACACATAGCAGCAGGGGACACCAGACATCCACATCCGGGAAGTCAGGGCCCAGGTCATCTGCAGGGCACACACGTGTGCACATGCGCACGCTCTTAACAATGGCCAGGCTGCAGCCCAGGCCCCGCCCCGCTGGGGCTCTCCGGGTGGACGCCCAGGTGGCCTGGCCTCAGGTGTGGAGCATCTCTGTCATCTCATCACTCGAGAGGGGAACGGAATGGTGTCCTTTGGGGAGACCCAGAGGCACTGCAAACAGGGGAAGGGGTGCTGGCCTGCGCGTCCCTGGGTCCAGAGGAATGGAAGGGCAATCATTTTGAAGAAGGGGAGGGGGAAGGGTTTCTTTTATCCTTTTTTCTTGTGTGATTTCTATCAAAACACAGAAATACAACACACACACAAACCGGCACAGAAGCGCAGCGCTCTATTTACAGCTGTGGCTGGCACCTGCCCACCTGGCCAGCCGCCTGCAGGGAGGGGTGGGAGAGGGGTTCAGCCACATCATCAGAGAGGGGAAAGAGGCTGGAAAAGACAGAAGGGGAAGTGAGTGGGAGCAGAGGAACCAAGAGCAGGAATGTGCAGCTAGCATGACGAGCAGAGAGGAGACAGTGGCGGAAAGGGATGGCGGGGAACCCTCTCCTCGCCTTCCTCTCTCCCCCAAGGACTGCAGAGCAGAGCAGAGCAAGGTGGGTGCAGGGAGAGGGAAAATGGAGGCTCTGTAGGATCTGGAAGGCGTGGGGGAGGGGCAGTCCTGGTGGCTGAAATGGAACAAACCCCAATCCAAAACCCCCCACCCCACTCTGCCACTTCTCCCTAAGCTGCCAGCATATCTGGTTTCCACAAATGCCACACCCCACACAAGCCCCCTCCCACCCCCTCCGCCCCCACCCTTGACCCAGGCCATCCCAACACTGGAGGGAAAAAACTTCTTAAGGTTATCGTATTGGCGGTGTGGCCCCAGCTCCAGCCCCCACAGGGAACGCTAGAAGGGCAGATTGGCCATGCTGCCCGGCGCCGGGAGGTAGCCCATCTGGCTGTCCAGAGACACGCTGCGCTGCCGCAGTGGGTGGGACACCATGAGGCTCTGCTGGGGCGGAGGGCCCATGAGGGAGCCCTGGGGGGACAGCATGTGGGGGGGCTGGCTGTAGACCTCGGCCCCCACGCCCCGCTGCTTCATCAGCATGAAATTCTGCTGGGTCATGAGGCCTTGTGGAGGGGACATGACCCCCTGGTGCAGGCCGTGGGGCACCATGCCCTGCTGTGGGGGCACGCCTGTCCTGCCCAGCAAGGACATCTGTCCGGGGTGGCACATGGACATGTTGAGCCCCCGCTGGACACCCTGCTGGCCCGGGAGGTTGGGTGGCCGTGAGGGGGTCTGCTCCGCCATCATGTTCTGCAGGTTCATGAGATGCAGATTGGGGGGCTGAGCCTTGGGGGGCTGGTTCTCGGTCTTGGGGAAGTACTGCAGGGTGCTGCTTGGCTTCTCAGAGGGGATGATCCTCGACAAGTCGAACTCAGGGATCCCCGTCGGGGTGGGCCGGATGACCTCGCTCAGCTCAGGGTCGTTCAGCACGGAGGCCACGCCAGGCAGCACACCTGGGGGGTATGCGTCCCCCATGCGACCAGCCATGCCTTTGCCCATCAGGTGCTGCTGCGGGGGCATGGGGCCTGGAGGTTGGCTGGGCAGGTCCTCTGGGGGCAGGGTCATGCCTGAAGGGTAGTGCTGTTGCAGGCCAGGCCCCCCGCCCGCACCCCCACTGGGGGCCATGGCACCATGGGGCTGCTGCAGCCTAGGGGGGAAGGGCATCATCTGGGAGGAGCCGGGCACAGGGCCGCAGGGGGGGTTCAGGGAGTCTGGGCCCCCAGGAGCCATCATCATTGAGTTTTGAGGGGGCCCTCCTGTCCCTTGTGCATTGGGGTGCAGTGGAATGTTGGAGCCCAGAGGGGTGGGGGAGGGCAACATGGTAGGCGGGGGTTCATGGGAAAGGGGCTGCTGGCCTGGCAGGTTCATGCCCATGGGGCTCTGGGCAGCAGCTGAGTTCAGGTGCATCTGGTTGGGCTGGTTATTGCTGATCCCTAAGGGGACAGAGGAGAAGACGGTCAGGCAAGCATGCTCCCAGCTGGGGAAGGGAGCAGGATGGAGCCTTTTTCCACCCCCCTCCTCCCCAACTAGGCTCCAGGGCTTCCCCTGCTGCAAGGGAAGATACTCGAGGCACTGAGGTTAGGAGCCAGCTTCCACCTGAAGATGGAAAGCCCACTCGGGCAGGGCAGTCTGCGCTCCGGGACGCGTCCAGGGGCCTGGTGGAAGCATGCTCAGCCAGCGTGGTGTGGCCACGCCAGCTCTTCCCACCCCCAGGGCCCACATCAGCGCCCCTCCCTGTGGCCCCCAACTGTCCTCGCACCTGGCCCGGAGCCTGGCGGCGGCGGCGGGGGCAGCAGGGGCCGGTCAGGCAGCAGCTCGTCGTCTGAGGTGGCGATGGTCTTGATGGCGTTGTGGTACAGCGGGGTGGAGCTGGGCATGGCGTACTTGGACATCTGGGACATCATCAGTGACAGGGGGTTCTGGGAAGGCGTGGGGTCCGGGGAGGACGTGAAGGGCAGGCTGGGGTTCATGAGGCCACCCGGAGGGTTGGCAGGAGGTGCAGAGGAGCTGCTCCGGGGGCCGCTGGGCGGAAGGGCACCTACAGAGGCAGGGGACAGGGAAAGTGGAAGGTGGATTCGGCTGCTCACACTGGGGGTTCAGGAAGCAGTCAGCACCCAAGGCCCCACCTGACTCCTCCAGGCACACCTCTATGCACATGTCCCACCAAACGCCAGCCCCCCACCATCTCTACAGCCCACCTCTCAAGAACGCTGGCAGGACAGGAGGGAGACCCAACGCCTGCCCCTCAAGCGGGACCTCGCCTCCGGGCCCCAATTCAGATGCCTTGACTCGCTCCCCGGCCTAGCCTGCACAGCCCTCCACCCAGGAAACCCCCAACATCAAGGGCCAATGCCCATGTCCCCAGCCAGTGACTCACCCTGCTCTATGTTGGCCAGGGCAGTGGAAGAGCTCATGCTGAGAGGCGGCTGCTTGTTCTGGGGGACCCCAGGGCTGGGCATGGCTGTCTTGGGCGAGGCGACCCAGCCTGGAGAAGGCACCGCCATGGAGGGAGACTTGAGTCTGCTGGGCGAGCCCGTGGGAGAACGAACGCTGAGGGAGGAGCTGAGGACCTGGGGAGACTTGAGGGGTCCTGGCGGGTTGGCCGAAGGCAAGGGCACCATCTGTGAGGGAGTCTGGGGTGACTTGAGGTTGGCGGAGGGTGAGGTGACCAAAGGCGAGTGCACCTGGCTAAGGGTGGGCGACTTCAGGTGCCCCATGCCCGGTGAGCCCATCTGATTAATACTGATGCTGAGGTCTGACGGCCGTCTGCCCAGGGCCCCCCGACTGGGGGCAGAGTGCACCGACCCGGGAGGAGGATTGGAGGCGGGGGGCAGAGGCATGTGGCTCAGCCGGGTGGTGCCCACATTGCCCATGGGCATTGAACTCTGGTCAGGGCTGAACATGTCCTGGGTATTGCCCATGTCCTGGGGCATGGCTTGGTAGGGCCCCTGGCTCCCAGAGAAACCCTGCTGGCCCTGGCTGGGGAACTGCGAAGTCATAAGCATCTTCTGCGGGCCGCCCATCATGCCACTGTTGTTCTGGGCCCGAACCCGGGCCATCTCCTCGGGACTGAGGCCCTGCGGGCCCATCATATCCCCGGGGCCCCGCATCTTCTGGGACATTAGCATCTGCTGCTGCGGGGTCATCTGCACATTCAGGTTCATGTTCATGTTCATGTTCACATTCATGTTCATGTTGAGGTTGCCTGGCCCCATGGGCGGGTCCACTTCCCTCAGCCCAGACTGCCCCATGGGGGGACTCAGGAGGCCCCGGCCTCCACCAAAGTCCATGCCCATGGGAGTGCCTGCCAGGCCCTCGCCACCAGCCATCTGCCCAGGAAACACAGCTGGCTCCATCTGCCGGTGCGCCTGTATCATCCGCTCCATCTCCATGCCCTGCCCCATGCCAGCGCCTGCCATGCCCAGGGGACGCTGCATGCCCATCGGCCGCTTCTCCAGCAACTGTTGCCGCAGCAGCTCCTCACGGACCCGAGGGGTCATGAATCGCTCAGCTTCGCCCTGCCCACTTGGATAGGGCACCGTGTTCTGGGCAAAATTGCTGGGCCCACCCATGGGGGGCAAGTCTTCAGTCCAGCCCATGCCTGGCCTCGCAGGCCTCTGCATGGCATTCATGGGCACCTCCATGGGCATACCCTGCATGCCCCCAAACCCAGGAACCCGTTGCATCTGGTTGCCTGGGAAACGGGGGCCGGGGAAGGGAGGTCCACCCCGCAGTTGCATGGGATCCTGGACATCCATGGGCCCCCGCAGCTGGGCACCCATTCCAGGGGGCCACTGATCCCCAGGCTTGCTGTGGTAGGGAGGTGGTGGCCCCCTCACCATCATGCCCCCCATGCTCATCATGTCCTGCAGAGGGCGGCCCCCATGCAGCCCGATCTGTTCCTCCTTCCGCCGCTTCTCCTCATAGTATTCTTCCTGCAGCTTGCGCCATGCCACCTGCTCGGGTGTCAGGCTGTCCTGGCCCAACCTCTGCATCATCATGTTCATCTGCTGCCCCATGTCCCCACCCGGGGGGTGCCCAGGCACTTCATGCTCCAGCGGGGGGCCCCCAAGGCTCTGTGTCTGTGAGATCATGGACTGGAGCGGCTCCTCATACTTCTTCAGTCCACCGGGTGGGGCCGTGGGGGGCTGCTGGGGGGCAGGAGGGGCTTGTGCTGGTGGCCCCCCCTCTCCTGCTCCTCCCGGTGGCCCCTTGAGGAAGGGCTCAGTCTCCCCACTGCGCAGCAGCAGTCGCTCGATGTCCCGCAGGGTCTGCAGGGAGCGCTCCCGATGCTCCAGCTGCTCCTTGGACAGGCCCTCAGAGCCCACCAGGCTGCGCTGCCCGTTCCCGGTGGGGGCCGCCTCCCCCAGCAGGGCAGGGCCGGGGGCACTGCTGGGGTCTCCTCCAGGAGGCAGCGGATTGGTGGCGGTGGCGGCGGTGGGAGTGTTGGGGTGGGTGCCCCCGGTCCCGCCGCCCGTGCTGGCAGCTCCCACGGAGTTGGGGGTCAGATCCTGACTGGTGTCCTCAGGAGGCCCCTCAGAAGGCAGAGCCGGGGGGGCACTGCCTGGGGCTGGAGGTGGCGGCAGCGGAGGCGGCTGGGACTGTGGGGTACCTGCTGATGGTGTGCCCAGGGGCAGCGGGTCTGGGGGCGGCGGCACTTTGGGGGCCTGTGGGAGGAAGAGGCAGCACATGAGACAAGTCAGGGAAAGCACCGAGCCACGCGGCTGTCCACGGAGGCGGCGTGCTGGGGCAGGCCCGGCACTTACCTGGTCCAGCTTGGCCCTCGGCACATTCTGCTGGTGGTAGGCAAGGATGGAGTCGGCCCGGCCCTGCAGCACTGCCTCCGCGGCCCTGCACGGGACAGGGTGCAAGGAGCTCAGAGAGGCGGGCAGCAGGGAGCCCCCGCCCTCTTTCTACTTAACCTTGTCCCCTGCCCCCACAGACACTCGCTCAGGCCCCAGGCTGAGGAGTCCTGGGTGGACGCAAGAGGTTTGGCCTACCCGAGGCACTTACGTGTTGGCCAGGTGGGTGGTGAAGACATACATAAACTGTGAGGGAGGCTTTCCTGGGACCCCTCCGGCCCCACTCCCAGGGGCATCGGGCCGAAGGCCTGGGGGCGGCCCATGCGGGGGGCCCGGCGCGCTGCTCTCGTTGAGGGGCAGTTGAGTGGCTTGGCCAGGACCCAGCTGTGGGGCCGCCATGGCTGGGTCTGCTACATTACAATCTGCAGAGAGGGAAGAGGGACAGAGAGTTAGTAGCCGGGATTCAGAACGGGCCAGCTGGCACCCCACCGTCCCCTCCCAGAGAGGCTCGTGCTTCCCGCCCGTGCCCACAGCATCATTTGTTGTCACAATGTGGGGTTTTCACTGGCCTGGCTCCCACAGCTCCTTGCCCCAGACTGGTCTTTGGCCAGGATGGAAATGGTGGTGCCGTGTGAGCAGGAGAGGTGACCCTTCCAAACAGGCTCCTGGATACTCACAGATGCGATTTTATCTGATCACACAGTCCTGGGAGGAAGGAGTCACACACCCCACCTTACAAGGGAGGAATCTGACCCTCAGAGGGATGGCATCACTTAGCCCAGGGGACACAGCCAGGCATTGCAGAGCCAGGGTGCCAACCCCAGTCAGCACTGCAGACTCCCAAGTCCCACCCTTGTCCCCCTCTGAGGCTTCCATGAGGTCTGTGTAGGTAGAGCACACACCCCAGCCAGGTGAGGGGGAGGCAGAGAGAGACAGCACTATGGCCGTGAATGGGCTTTCTCTCTGGCCCCACCAATAGCTGACTTTGCAGCCTCTGAGCAAGATGCTCTGGCCCACTAAGCCCCAGTTCCTCCAACTATAAAATGGAAACGTAAACCCCGATCTTGCACCAGAGACAGGGGAAAGAAACCTATTTTTGCAGCAAGTTCAGAGCTATGTTGTCAACCAGAGAACTGTCTGGCAAAGAGAAAAGACTCACTGACACGCAGGGTTCACTCGGCATGGAGCTAAGAGTAGATTTTGCAGTGCCGGCCTGGGTTCGGACCCAGACACCGTGTCCCCTGGGGTTAATGACGATCCCTCTGGGGTCAGCTTCCTCCCCTGAAAACTGGGGTGTGTGACTCCTTCCTCCCCAGCTAAACTGGCCCCCTCAGCACCGAGAGAAGTTTTACTCCACAAACTTGATTCTAAATCCAAGTCTAGAAAGGTTCTACAATTGGTCATCAATGGGTCCAGGCGAGTGTGGACCCACTCCCAGGCCAGGAACAAGAAGCCACAGTGGGCCTTGCCCGCAGCCAGTGCCAGACAGAGCTCAGTCCCGGAGAGACACTGCTGTGGGTGCCCCGTACGCAGGATCCACCTTCCCAGGGGTACCGTGGGGGGCCCCTCCTAGGGTAACCATCTGAGAATTGACCCACAGCGGCCCTCCTTCCAGACCCTGTCTCCGACTTTACACAGAATAACGAAGCCTGAGTTGGGCGGGAGACTTGAGGCCCAACTTGAATGTATGAGGGCTGCTGGGAAAGAGGAAAGTGCATACTCAGCACACAGAACTGGGTGCAAGTTAGGGGGAAGGAGAAAGGTTTTATTTCAATAAGGAACATTCTGGTACAGTAATAACAATAAAACAAACATTTTCTAAGTATATTCCTTGTATCAACTCGTTGACTCTTCACACCAACCCTGAGACAAATACTCTTTTTATAATGAAACTGAGACCCTTTCCCAAATTCAACTGGTGGAGCCCCAGTATCTAAGCCAGGTGGCCTGAATGCAGAGTCTATGCGATTAACCTGTGTAGCATGTTAGACATCCACACCATTAAGAACGCTTTGAAAATCCAACGGTACTATTCTAAAATAGTAATAGACACTGCCTCAGTATATTGGGGATGGGTGTTAGTCATTTCTTCTCTGAGTATCTCTCCTCTTCCCATTTCTACAGGAATCTAGTCTAATGCTATAAAAGCACAGTGACCCCCACCAGTCACTGAGGGGTTCAGCCAGGGGCTCACGACTGCCGGCCAGTCCCCAGACGAAGGCCAGCCTGGGACCAGGTGAACTTTAATAAAACCCTAGACAGCTGCAGAGAACTGGGGCTTGATCCCATGTGCCACCCACTTCCATGGAGATGGTCAGTTCATTCCACAGACATCTGCTCAGTCGGTTGCCTCCTCTACAACAGCATTATAACAACACCTACCTCACAGGGCTTTGCTACAGGTTAAATAAAGCAAAACAGTAAAGAGCCAGTACATATTTTTTCCTTCTTTCTAACCTTCTACCCTTCAAGAAGTTCACAACTTAATATCCCTTGGCTAGTCTCTTATGCATTAAGTTGCCCACCACCCCCTACCCCCCAACAGATGTAAGTTTTTAGGAAAAGCACCAAGTAACTGGGTTGTGTCTGGCCTTCCCCCATCACCTGTGGAAAGCCCAACTATACACTGATCAACAAAAGAATGAGAGGAGTGGGCATCACTCCCACCCATTTCTCATCCTGGTGACACACCCCAGGCACCGGCCAGGAGTCAGTCAGAGGTTAGGAAGAGTGCCAGAGACATGGCCAGTTCAGCTCACAACCGCCTAAGCAAGGCCTCACATACCAGAGCCTACTGCCCCGTGGGGTGGGTGCCGCACCCTTGCCGTACTCCCTCCATTGACCAGTAGGTGGCAGCATAAGCCAGGAATTCACGGGAAAGGTGTAAGTGGTGCGGCCAGGAGGAGCCACCTGAGGCCGCCGACCTCACCTAGGTCCCTAGGGAGAGGGGGCCACTGAGTACCTGAAAAGTAGGGGGTGGGCCATCCTAGTGCAGGGAGGAAGAGCCTGAAATGGAACAGAAGTCTGGGCTCCCGATCCTGGCTCCTTGCCCAGCCTCAGCCCTCTCAGGCCCGCGGTGAGGAGAGGGCAGCTCCCTCAGGGCAGCCATCCCCCAGAGGCACCAGTCACAGCATCCTGGCATCCATGGGCACTCACTGTGGGTGGCCCCAAGGGGCTTGTCGTCCTCCTCGCTGTCGGGTCCTGAGCACCATTCGTCCCCACTGTATGGCTGCTTCCGCTCCAGCACACAGCGCCGCTTACTCCGGGGTGCCACCTCTGCCCAGGCAGGACAGACAGAGGCAGGCAAGGGTCAGAGCGAGTGCCCCGAGGTCCTGGGAGGTCCTGTCTTCCCGCGCCACCGAATCTCTCCCCGGCCCATTCTCCAAGATGCCCACCCCAGAGGGCACTGCCCAGGCCACGGTGGGCACTTTGCCAGCCCTTGGCCCCCACCACACCACCATTTGTTTCTGATTTCTCTCTATAGCCCGCTGCCTGCCTCCCCTCCCCCACCACACCCAGCACAGCATAATCCCCGACCACAACTGGTTCTAATTAGGGGTGGGGGGGTGGGGGGGAGGGGGAAGCCGCTGCTACTCCTCCAGGCCCCAGTGCCTGCTCCCCAGTTCCCACCAGCTGGGATACCGGGAGGTTCCTGGGAGGTGTGTGGGTCTGCTCCTCACCCTGGAGCACCTTTCTCCCCTGGAGGGAAGGGGGTGGCTCTGGTAGGGAAACAGAGGGGGAATAAAGCTGACTGGGAGCCCCCTCACTCTGTGTGGCCCCTCCAGGGGAGGCACCTATAGATAGGAGATCTGGAACCTGGCAACCGTGATCCTCAGGTTGGGGGATACAGTGAGGGTAAGAAAATACCCTCCTCTCCAGCGCCCAAGTTATGGAGAGGAGCAGGGCACGAGGGTGAGCCAAGAGGGACAGAAAGACAGTCACCTCGCAGCAAGTTCAGCCTTGGACTGTGGAAGGGGCTGGGGTCTTGAGGGTGAGAAATGGGGTACCTTTGGCCTCTGAATCCAGGGATGGGGTTCCAGCCTCTCGCTGCTCTCCAGAGTCTACAGACACGCTCCGCTCCCTCTTCACTTTGCCCTTGAGCGAGCTGAAAGGGGGCACCCCTGCCTGGGGGTTCTTCAGATTTGAGTTGCTAGGTGAGATCTGGTTGGCCTTGGGCCCATGGTTCCCCGCCCCCACGCCCTTGGAGCCCAGGTTGCAGGTGGGTCCTTGGTTCACATTCTGGTGCTGAGACTGGGCCCCGCCATTCCCTGTCTTGCCATGATTGGTCAACTTATTTTCTGAGTGCATTGGCTTGGCTGGGGCAGGGGGGCAGTGGCCGCGTGGGGACAGCGGCGGGCTCCCTGGAGCTTCTCTTCTCCTGGGGTGGGGTAACCTGGGAGAAGGTGGGAGAGACACAGAAAGTTAGTATCATGAAGCCCTCAGCATATCTGGATTTCAAACCTCCCCCCCCCATTCTGCCGCACTTAGTGGCAGGGAGGTGGGGGCTGCGGTACTCCCCTCCAGGGCTGCTCAGAGGAGGGCTTTCACCCCTCTCCACCCTGGGGAGTGAAGGTGATCTTCACCCCCAGCCCACAATTCAAATGAAAGCCAGGGCCTGTTGACAGAATGGACCTCCCCACTCCCCACCCGGCCCCAGCATCCATCAGCCTACAAGCTGCCGCCGTGGCATCCCCCACTAGCACCTGAACACTAACACCTGACCAACACTTAGGCATCCTTTCTTCTGGGGTATGCTGTCTTCAGACTCTTTTCCAAGGTCCCAACCTCAACTTCCACATGTCGGAACACCAGCCAGGAAAGGGCACAGGACCGGGAGAGTCACTGTTCATGCCCCAGCCCATTCCCCTGGGGAAGTGGGGGAAAGCACGCCAGAGACTGGTACCCACTGGTTCAGACAGGAGGGGAGCAGGAGGGAGGCCTGCAGAGGGTCCGCCTGGCGGGCAGGCAGGAGCAGGAGGAAAGGGGGAGGGGAGTGGTGTGTGGAGCCAACTGGAGTGTTTCTAGAAGCCAAGGATTCCTGCAGTCTCGGCTGCGGGCCCTTTAAGCTCCAGCCCGCTCCCCCCACCGCCTCCCCCTCCCCGGAGACCTATTAATAGCCGCTGGAAAGATCACATCACGGGAGAGGATATTTATCCCCCCTCATTCCACACCAGCTCAGATTTATTTCAGCTCTGCTGTCCTGCTGCTGCCGCCTGGCCCTGTCTGCTGGCTTCTCCTGGGGAAGGGGAGGGAAGCAGGCACCACCCCTCCCTCCAGCTACCCACCCTCAGCTAGACTAAGGCTAGAGGGCGCCACTGGACCTGCCAGTGGAGTGGGTGGGGGTCTGGTCAAAGCCTTTTAGGAATGGGCTAGAAGGCACTAGAACTGCAGGCCTATCTGGTGGCCATTCCCCTGTCCCCTGGGCCCAGACACTAAGGTTGTGGACTCCAGCCCCAGGGCACACCTTCCCACTCTGACCCCGCTTCAGCCTACAGGTGACCTAGAAGTCAGGTGCCCAGGGGGCTGGTTCTGCAAGCCAGCACTGCTCAGCCCCAATTCCACTGGCCCTCCCTTCCCACAGCCACACACACCCCACCCTCCACGACACCCACACACCTTGCCTTGTTAGCCAGGATCCTCATGGCTGCCACACACAGTGGGGCTACGGCCCCTGTGCGTGCCCAGGGCCCAGCCAGGTACTCGGTACTGGAGCACGGACTGCAGCAACAAGCCCCAAAGAGAAAACTTGTGACTTGGGGAGGGGGTGGAAAAAGGGGAGGGGAGGAGGGAGGACCCAACAGCCCTGGGACTAGGGAACTGGATAGGGTAGGGTGGGAATGGAAAGGGAGGACTACGAGGTGGGGTCTCAATCCTAGAGGCCAGTCCAATCCCCATCCCTCCCTCCCTCGACCCTCAGGGTGCCTGCAGTCTCTAGCTAGACCCCCACCCCCATCCCCCGGGCTGCAGAGGCAGAATTCACTAAACGGAATTGCCAAGGTGCCCGTGTGGGGCGGCCGGGAGGTCTGCCCTGGTCCCCTAGGGGACTCCCGCCCCCTGGCACGCCCCTCCCCCAAGGTGGGGAACCCCTCAAGCCCGGCTGCTAGCCCGGCGCCAGGCCCCAGGGCGCCCCCAGCCTTCAAGGGGGCCGGGGTGGGGTGGGGGCCATGCCCCGCCCCGCCCCGCCCCGCCCCCAGCTCGAGGCCTAGCCCGTGCCCATCCCAGCAGGCCCAGGCGGGCAGCGAGAGGCCTGGCGGGGCCCCGGGGCTGCAGCTGGGCTCTTCTGGAGACCAGTAACGCTGGCTCAGATTCCTCCCCGACCGCAAGAATGCAGGAGCCTCCCCTCCCCCCGCCCCTGCACCCCACCCCGCCCCCTTCGGCTGAGCCGGAGCGCAGAGGCAAGAGCGAGCGAGCGAGCGAGCGAGAGAGCCAGCGAGCCAGGCAGCGGGAGGCAGACAGGGCTGCAGCGTGCCTCTCCAGGCCCCGCACGCGCCGGCGGACAGACACACGGCCAAGTGCGGCGAGGGGCCGGCGCGCGCCGCGGCGGGGCGAGGTTCGGCTGAGCGCTGGGCGCCGCCAGGGAGACCCACGAGCACCCGAACTCTGACTCACACACTCACAGCTCACACGTGGACGGGGAGACAAAGACACGCACGGAGCCCAGGAAACTAGAGGCGCGCTCACGCCGACCCCGCCGAGGTGTGCTGGAGGCCAGGGAAGCGCTGGCCAAGCAGGAGCGCCCGAAGCAGCCTGGGGCCCACGCGGGCACCGGGGCCGCCGAGCGCACAGAGCCAGCGCGGCGACTCATTGCTCGGGTGGAAAGACTGAGGGCGGGCCACCAGGGAGCCAAGAAAGTTGAGCCTGGTAGTCGCAGAGAGACACACAAACAAGGCCACAGATACACCAACAAACAGATTTACACAAACACAGGCTCCTGGCCCCTACCCCCCTGCCCTGTCCCTCCACACACACACCCCCAGCAGAGCCCTGTAAAGGGGTGGGAAAGAAGAGGTAGGCATCTGGGGCCCAGCTTTGTCATGGTGACCGGCCCAGGGCCCTGTCAGACCCGACTGCACACGGCGGCTGGGCGGGCGGGGTGGGCCAGTGGCACCCTGCGGGGCTGCTGGAGGTTGGGCTGGGAAACAGAGTGAAGAGGCCCCACCCGCGACCCTGTGGGAAGTCTAACCCTGATTTAACCCCGGGGCACACTGGCCTTCCTTCCGATCCAGCTCTGCCTCTGGGAAAGGAGGCTCCTCAGGGAAGGTTCCAAAGTCCAGGGCCTGACTAGGAAGCAGCCTGCTGCCAGCCCCCATCCCCTGTATCACCCCCAGGTTAGAGTAGACACAGAGAGGGACCAGGCCCCTGGGCATACGGACAAGCCATGGTTGACATGGCTCTCACCTTTGCCCACCTGGCTGATCCTCATAACGACCCACCTGGGAACCTGGGTGCTATTATTATCCCCCTTTCACCAAGAGGAAACAGGTCTAGGAAGAGGAAGTGACATGCCCCTGGGTCATGTGACCAGTGCATAGCTTGACCCAGACCCCATTGCCAATGTCTTTCTCCTCCCTGCAGTGTCCTCCCTTCTGTTAATGCCTGCCATCTAAGCATGCACCTGATAAGTGACTTCCCACCTGCTAGCCACTAGGTCCACCCCCCTGGGTGGACTACCTGCTATCTCTTGTATTTATCGCTTCAATACTGGGGACCTGTGATAATTTGCAAGGGGGCTGTTAGAAAGTTAGTCCTCTCCAATGTCCCCAGTCAGGCCAAGGCTCCTCCCCAGAAGAATGTTGGAGTCACCCTCCCCTCTAGGACTCCACCCCCTAGCTCCCACCCAGCCGCAGGGCCAGCTGAGTCAAGCAGGGATGAGTCAGGACTTTCCCATCTCATACATCCCCCCCCCCCTTTATCCCTCAGGAGTCCGCCTGGCTCCCAGAGACCCCTCCTCCTCTACCACTCAGCCCCAAAGAGATCTGTAAGACCTCAGGGGTGGGAAGCAGGAGGGCTGATTCCTGGTGGGTACAGCTTTCAATGATCATGGTAAAGGGGGCTTCTAGCAATGCCCCCAGAGCTGGCTGAAAGGAAAGGGAGGAGCAGGGGGCTCTGGCTCTCTATCACCAGCTAGGTGGAGAGTGATGATATGCGCTGGCAAACAGGGAGCAGGTGCAAGTCCCCTGAGTGAAAGGCCCAGAGCATACCCAAGAGAAGGGAGCCCAGGAGGCTTCAGAGACAAAGAGCTTGAGCTCTTCTGGCCTCTTGGGGTAGCTAGTGGGGAAGAAAGGACAGTGGCCTAAGGGTTAAAGTGGCCCTGACATCAGAAGGCTGTAATGGCTGCCCAGGGCCTCCAGGTGTGACATGCCAGCTCCTTGCTCAACAGAGAAGTGCCACAGGTACAACGGGCCTTCACACACCAGTGGCAACCTGCCCATGACCAACTGCCCCTGCACTGGGAGCCTCAGCTTGTTTCCCCAGCTGGTCCCACTGCCAAGCTCAAAACCTCCCCCAAAGAGACAGTGAGAAAACTGCAAGAAGGTCGGCATGCTACTCAGCTACTTGCATGGGCAGGCCCCTTAGGGAAGGAACTGGACCACTGGGGCCCTCTGATGCTGGGGCCTTTGGAGTGGGACTCTTAGCCTCTGACTCTAGGAGATGGGGTCCCCTAGAAAGGGACTCGAGTCCGCTTTCTCTGCCTGTTGGGATTCTTAGAGCTCTCCTCTGCCACCCAGGTCCCCTCCCCTTCCTGAGGTGGTGACCAAGGGGGAGGTCAAGGATATGTAGCCCAACAGGAAATCTCTACCAGAATCAAAGAGTGATTCTGGGACCCTCATCGTGGGGACTTCCTGACTCAGGTGGCCTTCCCCTCACCCTAGTTCCTAGCAGCTCACCCATTTCCCACACCTCCTGCCCAAGGAGACCATGCGAATCAGCCATTTTGGTCTGGGAGTTTCCAGCCCCACCCCCACCTGCAGCCCCAGGGTAATGTCAGGCAACCCCAACCCCACAGGGATATGGAAACTTCTGGTCCCAGAACTTTCTAGTCTGGGGTCTGTGAACAGGGTGTTTGCTCTTGGGAGCTAAAGGGGGAATCCTGCCCATTCTGGTGACCACACTTCTTCTGGAGATTGCAGGAACAAGTAGCATTGCCTGGATAAACCTGAGGTCACCTCACTTGGCTCCTTCAGTATGGCCAGGCCTAGGGAAGCAGTCATACCATGGCATTGGGGTGCCCCCAAAGGCAGAGGCCCAATCCCTGGCTGCTCCCTCCCACAGGGTGGAGGAGGAGGGGGTGGGGGGCACAAGGAAACAAGACAGGGCAGGAAGCCCAGGCAGGCGGCGGGCACTCTAGGCCAGGCACAAACAGCCAACACAGGAAACCACAGCCCACCCCCGCCCACCCCACCCGCCCAAAGCTCTGGGAGCTAGGAGTGCCAAAGCCTGGTACCCCAAAGGGGCAAGGGCCAGGGGTTAGCCGGGGCAAGGGAGTAGCAAGAAGCTCTCCAGTCCTCTCTCTACCCCAGACCCTACCTGGGGAGGGGGACAGGAAGCCAGGCTGGCAAGGATGGTGCTGCCTCTTTAAATCCACCGAAATCCTGAGCTAGGCCCAACCCAGCTCTGGTTTCACAGGAAGGAAAGGAGCTCTGGAGCCAGTAGGGCAGGCGGTGGTGGCTGGAATTAGCCCCACCAGCCCAAATATATCTGGTCTCTGCCTGCCACCCCGCTGGCACTTCCTGCCCCCTGGCACCTGTACCCCAGCAGGGGTGGGCGAGGGTCTAGGTGTTACTCCCTACCCAGTGGGAGACCCCCTCTTCAGAGATGCCCTGTTGCTGGGTATACTATATGTGGGTAGAAAGTAACTTCTCAAGCCTGGACTCTCAGAAGGGAGCAAGGGGCAGGGCAACTCCCTCAGGGCCTCACCTGGCCTCTGTTCTCCAAGGGGTTAATCTGGGCTCTGTTGGGGGGGCTTGAGGGGGGATAAGGGTGGCCTAGGAACCTCCTCCAAACTGCCTGGCGGCTGGGAACAATGGGGCCATTGTGGGAGGAGTGGAGTGCGGGCAGACTGCTGGCACAGCGGAGCACCACAGGCGGCCCTTGCCAGCCTGCCCTCCGCTCTGCTCTCTCTCCCAGGTACAGCCAGCAGCAGACAGCTTCCCAGCCCCCTCACCTCGTCGGCCTGACCCAAACTCCTGGCACCAGCAGCACCTGGAGGGCCCTTGAGCTCTGCCCAAGCTGCCATCCAGACTGCCCTGACCCTACAGGAAGCAGGGCCACGTGGGCCGGGACAGGGGTGGGGGCTGCCGAGACAGGATGTGTGCCTGTGATCCTCCTGCAGGGAAGACAGGAAGGCCAAATGGGGTTTCTGGTGTCAGTCCTGGCACCCACAGGCAAGAAGGGCTTAGGGGATTGGGAGCGCAGGAGCAGGCAGGGTCCCCTGCCCCTAGGCCTCCTTTCCTACATTCTAAATAAGTCTGCTCCCTGGGAGGCCTGGTGCCCAGGGAGCAGGACACTGGCAGGCAGTCGGAGTGGTGCAGTGAGAGGAAAGCTGGGTGTGCAGCCAGGTAGACAGCATGCCAGTCACATCCCTGCCCTCTAGCTGAAGGGCCCTGCCCATCCCTTCACCCCTGAGCCTCAGTTTCCTCATCCACAAAATGGGGATACATTCAGAGAGAGAAACTATCTAACACAATGCCTATGGCATACTCAGCTCTCAAAACACCACCCCTAGTGGTGATACCCCTGGCATGGCACCCAAACACGAGCGCTAGGTAAAGGTGGGTATTATTCCGATATTTGCCCTAGGAGTAGTTCTGGGCATTGAACCAGTGGGGCCAGGTACAAAGATTTGGCTTTTCTCTACCTTCATCACAGGTGCAGCTCCCTCAGCCAGGCTCCCATGGTGTCACTGGGTTCATTGGGGCACACCCACGCAGAGCATGAGCCCAGAAAAGTGTTGTCCACTCTCTTAGCCTCATGTCTGTGTCTCAAAGTTCCAAGCTCCCAGTCTCTCTCCAAAAGTGGCCCAGATCCCCTCTGCTCTTGCTCTCTGACCCCTGCTAGAGGATTCAGCAGGGAAGAAGCAGAACTCTACTTTATTGCCTCAGATCTCTTTAAAGAGGGGCGGTTTGAGATTGGGGGAAAGAGCAATTGGAACATGCAGTTCTAGAAAGTCGAGGCCCAAGGAGAGGACCTGTTCTCTTCTCAGCTGTAAGGGCTGTCCCTCTCAGGGTGGCTCTACAAGGTCCCAAAGGGTTAACAAGGCCCTAAAAATAACCTGCTCCCAGCAGGACCCGCTGATTGGAACCCTCCAGCCATCTGTTCCCATTTTCTCCTGTTCACATTGGAACATCTGAAACCAGCCCCAGAGCCCCAGCCCGATCCCAAAAATAGCCCCAGCCTGTCCAAGGAACAGGCCCCAGGGACTGGGCACAGGAGGCATGGCCAGACCAGCCATAAGGCATGGCCCAGGCCAACTGAGCCCTCACCCCAGGTCCAAGGAAGGAGCTGTCCCCTCTGGTTCCAGAAGATGGTGTGGCAAAGCTAGGGACTCCACTCCCACCCCTTTGCTACCAGGTCAAAGGAGGATCCGCAACCAAGCCCAGGCCTCAGACCCAGGAATCCTGAATCCCAAACTCTCCTGCCACATCTTAATCAA